GTACTACAGTATTTATTTAAACATTCATTATTTTCTTTAATCATTCTTTCAATCCTTCATTCATTTATTCAATCATTCATTCCACATATTTATTCCATTTTATTTATTTAATCAATCAACATTCAATCATTTATTTATTTATTCATTCACTCATTCAATTCTTTACTTTAACTTTTATTACTTTTTACTTTACTGTACTTTGTAACTGGACCATTTTGAAAAGCAGTACTACGTTACCGAAAATGCAATCCAGTAAAAGAAAGAATAAATAAATAAATAAATTCATCACTGTCATTATTACTATCTTCTTAATCAGCATCATCAACACCACCATCATAATGATGATGATCATCATCATCGTAAATATATTAATTATCAATATAGCTCATCAACATTTTGACCTGAAGATAGTGAATGTTGTAATTGTACAAACTATACAACCTGAGGAACTTACCTGTACCAATGTGTGGGCACATGATGCAGTCCACCCCCCACGATTCTCCAATCAACAAACAACAGCAGTCCAGCTCACTGGAACGAGCCGCTAGCATATTGTTGGTACATTGAGTCTTAGCATCATATGATGTATTCTTCACCATCATGGAACCATAGCAACCAAACAGATTTGAATTCTCATCAGGAACTAATGATACCGAGGAATAATGCTGATTGTTAATAGAAGGGAATAATAATATACAAAACACATTCTGTCAAAGAATAAATAAAACAATCCACTCAAGTATTTGTTGTGTACCCATTCACTTAACTAATCGTTTTATTAACTAACCAACTTACCAGTTATTCATCATCTATTCTTTCATCATCCATTTATTTATGTTTTCATCCATTTATTTATACTTTCATTCATTCATTGCTTCATTCATTCTATCATTCATTAATTCCTTTATTGTTTGTTCATTCATTCAATTTATTACCGTCATTATATTATCCCATTTAAAAGGTTATATTAATAGAATTGTTGAGTATAACAATTTGGAAATGACAACTTGAATTACATAAAATATATGAAACTGTACAAACTTGGGATCTCAGGACGAAAGCTGATGTAGGTTGAGTGATCAAAGCTGACGCTAAATCCACACATATCATCAAATTCATCTAGTGCCAAATTAAATCAAAAGTTATAGATGAATTATGATTAAGTTATATGAAATTAACACACTTTATTGACTTTAATGTGTACAAAGGGAATAGTTATACTTTGCTGGTAATTTTTATTACATTTATTATTGTCAATTTATGCATTCTTGTAAGTTTTGTCTATTTACATGTCCAGATTTTCAAAGATTTTTTTGAAGAATATCTTTAATCGATTGGCTTTCTCAGAAGAATTTAGTACCTATGCATATATTTACATATCATTGAATGAAATGTCAATATGTACATAGGTATATCAAAATAAGCAAATTCTTAAAACAATACAACATATTTTGTAACCTACTTGTGTTTGTCAGTGGACATTGCAAACAGTCTTGCCCCCAGCCTCTACCAATACCAGGATAATCACAGCAGCATTCAGTGTAAGTTAACAGGTAAGTCATGACAAGACCACAGACAGCGGTATCATTGTTAAAGTACACCAACTCATAGCACAAGTCAAATCCTGAGAATGGGAAATAAAGTAATAATAAATAATAAAGTAGCCTGTATTTTGCTTTTATTAGTCTTGTTTAAGGAGGTTAACCCCGATCTGTGGCAACACTGCTTTCCACTGGGGCTCGCTATTCATCAAAATACATGGAATCCAACCTTAAAATATGATACAAAAATAAAAATTTAAAATTGCAATTGATGGTAAACAACAATCACTAAAAATTAGTTATTTGCTAAGCATTGTTATACGATTATTATATTCATTATTAACACTTTCTATTTACAATTTTTATTTAGAATATTATTTATAAAACTGATAATATCATATATTATGATATTATAATTAATATTTTATCAAGACAGCTTACAACCCCGAGCCATCAGGGTTTTGCTTTACATCTGACCAGTGCCATATCTAGGTGCGCATGGGAAATACCTCCCCACTAAAATAGCTCATTCCCACAGTGGCCCTTCCTCTCCCATTGAAAATGTTCAAAGCAAAAATATCATGCTCTAGTGAGCTGATTTTTATCACCTCATTTTGTGACCTCACTTAATCATCAATCCCCCACTTCACCTTCAAGCCCCATTCACACTCTTCCCCTTTCAATTTCATGACTCGCCACACTATCTGACAAACTGTAGCAGGGTCATCCACATGACCCACATATTCTCAAATATCTTCCCTACATTCCTTGTGGAGTATCTGTCCTGAGACAGGTTTCCTGATACAGCAAAGTGACTGAGATTCTACAGCTTACCTACTAACGTAGATAGGCTTTCTGTTTCAGGGGCCAGTACCACTGGCGGTTGCATTACCGATAGACTGGAGGCAGATTCTGATGACATGAATGGTGGTATGGGATACCGGTTCTCTGTTGGAACATCTCGATGAGCTGCTCCAAACCCTTGTGCCGCCATACACAGCTCTGAGAACAATCCTAAGATAAAAAATAAGAGTTACAATAATTAGTCAGTATTATAGAATTAACAAAGGAATATAATGTAAGATTTAAAAATCATAACTTTTTTTTTCTTACTTGAGTTGGTGTCTGGGCACTTTTGGCATGGACTTCCCCAGCCTTGCCCAATCAGACAGCAGCAGTCTGCTAATGTCATGTTGGTGGGTATCGCATCAAAACAAAATAAACCAGTTGAATTGCTTTTCTGATTGATGTAACATTCACCTGTAATATATACAATTACAAATAAATTTCATGAGATTTATCATAATGAAGATTATAAAATGGTGATGATAACGATGATGATAAGAAGTAAATTAGATATATAAAGGTGAAGCCAATGACGACTTTGAAAATAAAATATTTCAGAAATGATTTTCAACTACTTGAAAATGGAAACAAAAACATTTCAAAAAATATTGTGGGACCAACCTTCTACTTGTAAAATATCAACCTTATAATAATCTCTGATAAAGTCCAGGGCTGCAGTTGATGTCTCTAATGTGGATGAACCTTCAGTCTCATCTGGTGAGATATTGCTTGAGCTCTCGGCCAACTTCTGAGCAACTGGTTTTTCTTCATATGTTGGATTTTGGAGTCTTCCTGCACACATTGCTGAGTACCTACCTGAATTTAGATCAACTGTTGATTAGAATTGCAATATATTTACTACAAATATAAAAGTAGAATTCTGAAGACAACCATCTCATTACCTTGTGAATATATTTCGCATGACTGGCATTCATCTCCCCAAGCTCTAGCATCTTGCTGACAACAGCATTCGGTGTGGCTGAATTCACCTGGCATTGCTTCTGAGCATGCCCAGTAGTCTGCCTTCACCTGCCTCACACTTTTGAAACAGGGACCAATGACAACAACTGTATGATTACAAACATGTCAATTTAACAATTTGTTTTTAGTAAAGTCTGCTTTTTTACTTTACATTCATTTAAAACATCGTCACCAAGGATATAATCTTAATTTTAGCAATATTTTAGTATACAATATAGCACTTTCGTTTATTAAATAGATTGACAAACCTTGTGATGAATCACTCTGAATAGAAACAATACTGTCTTCAATTACCTCAACATCTATAGGTGATCCACATAAAAAGTGGTACGTATCTAAACAAAAACATCATGAAGACAAATTACTACTAATAGGCCTAATGGCTTTATATTTAACATGTTTTAATAACGACATGTGATTAAATGAAAATGTATCAATACTGCATTGACGACCAGGTCGCACTATTTGAATTAGCTATAAAAGAATAATTACATTTAGCCAATAGGCCTATATTTTAGGTAGGCTAGGACTCGACGAAAGGTGTTCAATCACAAATTCGAACTATTAATTTCCGAATTTAAAAGTGATAAATAAGGCTAAATATAGAAACTTTGATTTTAGGCCCAGCTAGTTTCCATTTTCGCCACTCGCGCCGTGATGATAAAGACACGATCGACAACGTGGGCTATTACGTCACCCTTCTGCCCTCGGTTAATGTTAATCGATTTAAATTGGGGCAATTACGTCACAAATATTGTAAGCTGTTTTTAACAAAACTTTAAGCTATATTACGTCACGACAAACCTTCTCTCATTGGTTGAATCTTAATCGATTTAAGAAACTTGGGACGAATATATGCCAATCCCAAACTAATTCCCATTGGTTGAATGTTTATTTTTAACAAACCTTGGGGCAATTAAGTCACCACAAACTTTCTCTCATTGTTAAATGTTAAATCGACAAGATTTTGGGGTGATTATGTCATGACAAACCAAAAATTCTCCTATTGGTTTAGTGTCTTAATCGATTTAACAAAGCTTGGGCGATTACGGCATAGCACACCTTCTCTCATTGACTGAATGTTTTATCGGTTTTTACTTCCTTGTTACTTGTAGCCTGTATAGCGTTTTTTCCTCGGAGTTACGAAGCGCTGTTAACTACACTCCTCAATCAGTCAAAAATCCCCCGAGCAAAGTTTTCATACAGACCATCCAAACCCAAAATCAGAATTTATAAATAATGCAACGATTCACATGCATTTATCTTCTTTAAAACCATTTTCTGTACCTTCTTTTTAGCTTCGACGAGGAGCTCTAGAAACACATCTGCATGATTGAATAATCTGATTGATAACTGTTATAGATCTTTTTTTGTATTGGCGGCCGTTGGTCTCAATATACTCTACTGCCTCAGGAGCTATAGAAACACTGGGCTGATTTGGGCTGATCGATTTATAACTTTTTTTGTATGGGCGGCCGTTAGGGCCAATATACTCTACTGCCTCTATCATACTGCCCTCATCTGAGCTTTCGAGATTAGGAGAACTTGTTTTTTGTTTTATAACTGTCTATACGTATAGAGTTATAAATCGACATTTACCTAGGCCATATGCAGGACAACTAAAGTACTTGGACTGCCATCTCACCCTCTCTGATCCATTCTCACAGCAACAGGTCTTGAATGCTGCTTGAGCCTGGGAATTAGTTGCCATTGATGATGTCCCCGGCACATCTATCGAACAGTCATTGAGTAGTATATCTGGAACTGGTGGTGCTGCTAAAGATCAAATCAAAATGTCCAGTGTCAGTATTAATGGTTGATTAATGTCAGCTTTGTTGTGCCTGTGGAGGTACCTCAACGCTGTGCATTAATCACCCCTGCTAGGCTACGCTTATAATACTTTTAATTATAAAATTGTTTATTTATAATTCATAAATGCACCATGAGTCATGGCGCTTACAAATATTAAATATTATATTAATTAGAAATTAGGCTTCTACCTTATAAATATTATATATGCCAATTATTATATATAATTTTGGCCTATACAGTATATTGATATATAATATATCATATTGTAATAATAATCGTAATAATAATCATGATGACGAAGACAACGACGATGCTGATAATTGTAATAATAATAGTACGGTAATAGTAATACAGTAATGATGAACAATGATGATGAGGATGATGATGATGATGGAGATTATAATGATGGTGGTGATAGATAGTACACCAAGTTTTCGTATATGGTTAGCAGGTAGGATGGCCCCGACGCAATCTACGAAGTGGCCTATCGGAAACTTCTTGCGTCCAACCACTGTTTATATGTACACATAAGTAAATATTTAAAGTTTTTCAATAAATCTGAGCACATACTTACCAGAGAGAATGCTTGGAAGAAGATGGTTTATGACAATATGACCATTTATATTTGTTTTGCATAACGAAGTAAATTCATCTGAAAATAATTAATAAATTAAACCAATGTAGGCCCTGTGAATTATTTCATATATTTTTTTTGCGTTGTGTGCACTTTTCTCCCGTCATGGACCTTCCCACTAAACCCCATCCCTTGGATTCGTTGAGTTGTGGACCTTATATAGCGTAAACGTTCGTATTTGTGGGACATGCGCGTATTCCTATCTATTTAACAAATTCTGATTGGTCAGCTAAATTCGAATGACACTACGGAAAGATCGATTACCTACCCTATCCATCATACACCGGTGCATCACTAGTTCCATTTACTTGCCTTGAAGATTAATCCTCTGACAAATGCTTTCGATCACCTCATTGATCCACATAATGTAATTTATACTTTCCACTCCGACCGAGCTGAGTATCTTTATATATATAATATATATCTTTATATATATATATATATATATATATATATATAGGCCTATATAATATATAT